TTTTGATAACTGCTCTGAGGGGCATCTGTAATACTCTCAACAATAAAGATAAAAAAAGAATGTTGTAAATTTCTAGGGAATAAAAACTTTAGTATATGGGGGAGGGGGTGTCAGGGACATTATGTTTGAAACTTATTCTCAAACAGTTTAGCAAAAAAATTGAGGGGGTAATAAAAATTGGGGGGTGCAAAAATATGGTAAAAATGTTAACATTTGGAAACTATGGGTGAAAGGATATATAAATTACCCAATTCTTGCAACTCCTTTATAGCTCTGAAATTATGTCAAAATAAACAAGTAAAAGAAAAAAGTTGCACCCTGGTTGGTATGGCGCAGTTGGTTGGGCGACCTCCTATGTAACAAAAGGCTGTAGAGATTTGATACCTGGTCAGGGCACGTGCCTGGGCTCCATCCTGGTAGGGGCCTGTGGGAGGCAGCCGATTAATGTTTCCCACTCACATTGATGTGTGTTTCTCTCAGCCCCTTCATCTCTTTCTAAAGATCAAGTAAAAATCAAATTAAATTTAAAAGTTGCTAGTTTCAACAGTCATACAGTAAAACATTAAGAAATAATAGCTGGCCAAAACCGGTTTGGCTCAGTGGATAGAGTGTCAGCCTGCAGACTGAAGGGTCCCAGGTTCAATTCCGGTCAAGGGCATGTACCATGGTTGCGGGCACATCCCCAGTGGGAGGTGTGCAGGAGGCAGCTGGTCTATGTTTCTCTCCCATCGATCTTTCTAACTCTCTATCCCTCTCCCTTCCTCTCTGTAAGAAATCAATAAAAATATATTTAAAAAAAAAGAAATAATAGCTGGCATCTATTACTCTAAAAGGCCTAGTGGTTGAGATTATGGACTTTACTACCAGCCAGACTTCAGTTCAAGTCCGAACTCTGCTATGTGACTTTGGACAAGTTACTTATCTTCTCTCATCTTCTGTTTTATGGGAATAATGTATAGAATTCTAATAGGATTCCATAAAATCAAGCATGTCAAAAACTTGCACTAAGAGACACCAATTTTGGAGCCTGACTATGAAGGTTTGACTCCTGCTTAGCAATTTACTAGCTGTGTGACCCTGAACAAGTTTAACCTCTCTGTGCCTCAATTTCCCTATCAGTAAATGGGGGGGGGGGGGGTGATAACAGTATCTATCTCAAGGGTTCTTGTGAAGAATAAGTAAGTTCATTGATAAAAGTGATTTGAATAGCACCTGACATAGCAAGCATTGCATTACCAGCTAAGGCTTCTACCAAATAAGAATTCAGAAAAATGTTAGCTTTCATTATCATTGTTAAATATGTAATATTATCATCAATACAGCTTTTTCGAGAGGTTTGGTGCCAAAGAGAAAGAAAATTTATCTTTTCCCTCTTAAAATAGGAAGACCTAAGCACATTATAGAGACAGGAGACAAATGATACAGAAAGAAAAACTGAAATGCTAGAGACACAGAATCATTTATGAAGTGAAGCCCAACGGGCCTCAGTCTTTCTCATTATAAATATCATGAGGATTTAAGAGACATAATTTAAAAAGGCACCTTGGCTAAAGGTATAAGATAGAAGGTGTCTCCTTTAAATATAACTTTGAATACATTTACAACACACACTTTTACATTTTCTTTCTACAGAAATGCATTTTTCCTTAATGCCTATGAGGCTTTAAAATATTTAGCTTCTCTTTTAGAGATCCACCTACAATCGCCCTCCTCCCTCCATTTAAATCGAAAACTTTAAGCAAATACAGAAAAACAGAAGAGAATAAAGGGGTCGTTTTCCTCTTAGACTGATTTAGTGAGGGTCACATAAGGAACGAGGAACTTCATTTAAATCAAGATCAGAAAATACAAAAATGCAAAGCATACCTCCCCCTTCACTGATGGCCAACCAAGTGAACGGAACAGGTGGGAAGAGAAAAGGTGACATGAGGAGTATGCGAGAGAGATGTGGAGAAAGGGGGCAGTGAGCGACACCAAAGGCAAACAAAGCCTGGAAACGCTAAGGCAGGACAGACCCTGAGGCGGAGACCCTGAAGGCACGCAGAACGAGACAGGAGCCCAGACGGAGCAGGAAGGAGCTGGGAACTGG